TGTCTGTTACCACTTTTTCTCAGCTCTCACCGAACGGATTTCTTTCAACGATACGTCAAAAGATCACAAATCGTATCTAGTCGAAGACATTACCCTTCAAAATTGAAAAAATTTCCCTCGTTCCCCGTAAATGGGGGAAACCTCCAAAAAAATTACAAATTTAAAAATCGCTAAATTTCGAAATTTTTTCAATTTTTTTTACTTAAAACTTCCATAACTTTTTCAAAAATAAACAAATCAACATAATTTTTTTTGATACTAAAACCTTAGATATTTCCTTTTCATTTGATATAATTTTTTTGAAAATCTAACACTTAGCCTGCTCATTGGGGGGATTTAAAATAGGAACTTTTTATCAAAAACTAACTTTTTCAACTTAATTTTTGAAAATGTTCCGGAAATACTGCGACCTTTAAACATATATCAAATTAAAGCTTATTTTATGTACTATCAAATGAAAAAAAAAATTTGTCCCGACGACCTAACTTCTATGCGCAAATGGCCACCGTATTCAAAAATATGCTATTTTTCTATTAAAATTCTAGGTTTTGTATTTTATTTTATTTTAAAATATCTTAGTAGGAGAATATATTGACTTTCATGAATATTATATAATTTAATTGACATAGAATAAAGTTCATAAGACATAAGAAATTAAACTTATTAAATTTTTTCTACTTTTTTGTTTTCATACTAAATTTAATAATTATAATACTAATTATTAGTATTTATTCATATATTATATTTTAAAATCAAAGAACTACTAATTAGGATACAATCAAAGAAATAAGAGTTAATATTGCTTTTGGAATAATCCACCAATTTCATTAAATGAAACACTTTCTACAGATTTGCATCGAAGCGTTTCTTATGATAGTGATTTTAATTACTGTCAAATATCATCTATACTTGTCCCATCTATGCCTTGTCTACACTGTGCCACGACCTAACTGTGCTACCGTTTTTTTTTATTTTATTCCAATATAAACCTAATATTCTATCAGTACACTAAAAGAAGTTTGACTTTATCCATGCGTATTTGTAACACGCACGGGTTTTTTTCAATTTAAGACGATAACTCAAAATATCAACAATGACGGTTTTTTGACTACTGTAATTTTTTGGAACATTTATCTTTCTTGGCAAGACTAAGTTGAATTTTTCAAAATTATAGTGCTAGTAGTTTCAATTAGATGTGTTTTGTTGTCTTATGATGTATTGTTAAGCAAAATCGAAGTTTGGTTAAGAGCGTGAGTAATCGCATAATACTCACGTAAAAAAAAACGTTAGTAAAACCAATAGCTTCTCTCAGTTAGCCTATACATCGAAGCTAAAATATTTACATCTACAATATATTAAAGTTCAAATCGATGTGTATAAAAAAATTAACATTAGTTTTACATTGTTTTTTTTGTTTAAGTTATTTTAATAGAGAATTTTTGAACGTACTATTTTCTATTTTATAAGTTAATTAAATATGTATGTTGCCATTTAAAAAGATTAATTCGACACTCCTTTAAGATATAAAGGATGATTCTAAAAAGTAATTATTAACTGATAAATCATGAAAAATATGTAAGTCTTTTTAATTTTTTATAATTTTCTAGAAAATCTGTCTTCTTTAAACCTACTTCAAACTAATGTAATACTATATACTGTATTTTAAGATAAAAAATGAGAAGCTATCTAAAATCTCAATTTCATGGAATTTTCTTGGTCATTAAAGCAACAATCATACAATTTTTGGAAAATTCTGTAATATTTTGCATAATAATGCGATACTTACATCATTCTAAATTAATACAGATTAAAGCTTGTTTAGTGTAATAAATAGCAGTTCGACTGATTATCATCGCGAACGATATTATGTCGGTGATAAAAAATCTAATAATGACCGTACAACCGGGGACCGTCCGCCACAATACTACGTCGAAGTCATCTTCAGGCCGCACAATTACACCGCCTGGGTTATTCTCCCAGCGCATTCTGGCTAATTTACTGATAACATTGTTTTTTGTTTATATCCCATATAGGAACAGATTGAAAGTCAGTGTTCTAACTGAATTTCTAGGTGTCTAGGGGCGTCTTTTCCTTTTACATTGACTTCCTAAATCACTAAGTTTTTTATTTAATACATTATTATTCAGGTGGAACGCAAACTTTACACCAATTCAAAGTACCCTAAACAAAAAACCTGAAAAATGGACTAAAAACTGGAAAAATACGTTTAGCATTGTAGCATAATTAATATACACTTTAATTTATTAAAATCAGCTAAGATAACCTAAAAATAATACGAAATGTATTGAAATGTGATTAATTCAAATGCAAAACTTGTTCGTCTTGGTAAACCACGTTCTGAAGCACATCGTCCAATAAAAATTATTTGTAATAGTAAGGAGTTAGCTTTAAGTCTACTGTCTGAGTTTAACACTGCAAAACGTAACGGGCTGCCGCTTCCTGAGGGACTTCGCATGATTAGTGACAAAACTGAGTTGCAACGCAAACTCTTGCATGATTGCTACACGGATCTTGAGCGGCGAACAGCGGCTGGTGAGTCCGAATTACGTATCATCTTTGAAAATGGTTTACCGAAAATACAGGATGCTGCATCACGTAGAAGAGGATTCAGCCAACCCCCATTCACCCGTTTATAACAATCAATATCAAGAAGTCAACCCCTGTCCGGCTTCTACCAAAATTGCCATTGTCTCAGGTCCAAATTATTTAATTTAAATTGTAATTCATTAACTCTTTCTTGTAATTTTTTTGTATTCACTGAAACGTTGTTTACTGACAGCTTTTCGAATTCAGAGCTAGGATTTGTCAATTATAATATTTTTAAGTATGATCGGTGTAGTGCTTCTAGTAATTGTTTGCGAGGGGGGGGGGTGTTCTTTTTGTTGTTCGTAAAGATATCCCAGTTATCCCCATTTCTATAACTGCGTTTAATGTTGAGCATTTATTTGTGCGTATTTATTCAGAAACATTTAACTTTGTTGTCGGTGGAGTCTACATTACCCCTCCCCCCTTAATTTATGAATCCCCGCTCTAATTGCATTGATCATCTAATGCACCTTTTTCCTGAAGATATATTTATCATTTGCGGGGACTATAATATACCTGAGATTTCTTGGTCTTGTGATAACAATGGCCTAACTTATTCATATACCTCTTTTACGCGTGCTCCTTTCATCCCTGAAACGTTTGCTACAAACGGATTTTATCAAATCAATAGTGTCCTTAACTCAAACAGTACTACTTTAGATTTAATATTTTGTAATGATAAGAATCTTATAGTTGAAAAATCAAATGAACCACTTGTGATTATTGACAAATATCACCCCGCGCTTAATTTATCACTTCCAGTAAATATTTAATTTCCCAATTGCAACAAGAGCCATAGCTACTATAACTTTCAAAAAGCCCACTACAGCAGTATACGTCTATTTTTGTCGTCCTTTAATTGGTTTTCCACACTTCAGTTGATGGAGACATTGATTCAGCAGTAAATGTATTTTATGATGCTTTGCACAAGTCTGTAATAGACTATATTACTTTAATGATTCTCCCTTTCCGCCTTGGTTCAATAAAAATCTTAAACAAANTCGTGCCGTTATATTACTTTAATGATTCTCCCTTTCCGCCTTGGTTCAATAAAAATCTTAAACAAATTATTTCCTTAAAGAAAAAAGCGCATAAAAAATATAAAGCATCAGTATTAATGATTATAGGGAATTTTCTATACTTCGTGACAAGTTTAAGTATGAGTCAAAAAAATCTTACCGTGCCTACACGGAGCGTATTGAAAATGCACTTAAAAGTAATCCTAAACACTTTTGAAAATTTATCAAAAATAAATGTTCCTAAAAAGCCATTCCTAGGGTAATGTCTCTTAATAATAAAACCTCTTTAAATGAGCTTGATTCTGCAATTCTTTAGCAAGAATATTTTTCCTCAATATATTCTAATTCATCTCTGTTTGTTGATACTATATCGGATACAATAAAAATACCAACTTTTAATCTGCCTAATACCGTTCACTTTAATGTTGATGATATATTTAACTGTCTTTTAGCTCTAAGGAGTGACAAGTCTATTGGGCCTAACAGTTTACCAGATACGTTCTTTTTCGAGCTTAGATCAATTTTGTCTTATCCTTTGTGGATTATTTTTAAACGCTCGCTACAGGAAGGTATTTTTCCTTCTATGTTCAAACTAAGTTCAGTTACACCAGTCCCTAAATCTGGCTGTCTATCCCTCGCTTCTAATTACCGACCAATATCCATACAATTACATTTATCAAAAGTCTTTGAAAAAATAGTCCTGAATGCAATATAACCATCTGTTAACCAAATACTCATAGATTAACAGCATGGATTTCGACCGTGTCGATCTACCTCTACTTGCAACATCCTCTTTAGTAATTATGTGTTTAAATCATTTCAGCATGGATTCCAGACAGATGTAATTTATAAAGATTTCAATAAAGCTTTGACTCTATTAATCATAAGACCCTAATTCTTGTGCTCAAAGAAACTGGTTTCGGGGAGCCTCTTCTGTCGTGGTTCAGTTCTTATTAAGACAATAGGTATCAATGGGTTAGAATTTTTGGAATAAAATCTAACTTATTCCATACTAAATCAGGTGTATCCCAAGGGGGGGCACTTATCTCCTTTACTATTTTCTATATTTGTTAATAGTATACAGCAAACTCTGAAACACTCTCGTGTTCTCTGCTTTACGGATGATATGAAAATATTTATGCAAATTCAATCTCTTAGTGACTGTATAAGGCTCCAAGCAGACTTAGATAAATTTGTTGATTGGTTAACTAAGTTGGGTTTAACACTTAACCTATCCAAATGCAAAGCGTTTACATTTTCTAGGAATCACTCTCCGATTACTTTGTCATATCGACTTGGTAGCGACGAAATCGCTCGCGCATCTAACAATATTATGGACCTTGGATTCAAATTCAGCCACTATCTTGACCCCAGCGCTCACATCCAACATGTCTGCTGTAAAGCCTTCAAAATGCTTGGTGTACTTATTAGATTGACTAGAGAGTTCAAGCTTGAAAAAACCTTAAAAAATTTGTTTTGCGCACTGGTCTGCCCTATATTAGAGTATGGCAGTGTGGTGTGGGACCCCCACACGTAGACAACTGTCGCCAGTTAGAAAGGGTACAGAATAAATTTCTATGTTTTGTTGGGCGAGCGCTGGGTTTACCATGTCCACCCCACGATTATAGCCCCGTGGCAAATAATTTAGGCCTTTCCACCCTGTCATCGAGGCGTAGTATTGCGGGCTCAACGTTTCTCGGGAGTTTGTTTGATGGGAAGATAGAATGTCCTGCGCTATTGTCTTTAACACCTTTTAGGGTTCCGCAGATTAATACCAGGTCGAATGCGCCTTTCCGAATCACGCATGCCCCACGAATTACTTAATGAACGAACCCCTCTACCGGTTACTTAGAAGTACAAATGCACATTCTAATTTTATATTATAATAATATTTGTATTGTGCTTAGTAATGTCTTATTCATATGTTTGATTTATTAGTTGTAAACATTTTAGATTTTGTCTTTTGTTGTTTGTTTTTTGTGTCTTTCTCAAAATTCAGTTAAAATTAATTATGTAAACATAGTATGCTTGTAAAAAAAAGGATACATTCCGTAAACTAATATAATAAATAAATAAATACTTATTACCCTTAAAAGTTATACAAATTAATACATACCTATAAAGTAGTAATTTAAAGATGTATAAAATAAAAATACAAATAGAAATTAAAAATATAGAAGATATTTGCTATAAACACATTTTCTAAAACCCAAATTTGAGATAAATAACCTTAGGTCATATATAAGTACCAAATAAATATATAAAATGTTCACCTACCTATTGGGTTTTCTCACTGGCTCTGTATACTTTTCATTACTAAACCCCTAATTTTATTATTTTTACTTATTAGCTTTTGAAAATAGCCTTATTTATTCTTACTAATATAAAACTAATTATAAAATATTAAATAATATAAATGATGACTTATTATAAAATATAAAACAACAAGAAATAATTACCTTTCCATTAGATGCACCTAAAACTGAATTTAATATAAAATCTGGAGGAGCTAGAGCATCAGCAAGAGTAACAGATTCATTTTTAAGATTGGAACACAAATCAATTATTGATTCTTTAATTATCATAGATGCCAATGGACCACTTATATATCCACCTTTAACAATTTAAATTGCCTCAATAGAATAAAATAGAAAAAATGTGTAATCAATATTTGAGCCAAATAACATATTTTATTTTTTTATAAAGGGGTTTAAAAATAGTTATGATTTTAGTTATTAACAGGACTCGGGACTTATAGTATTTGCTAGAAAATGCTTTTTTTTGCTATTTTTGATGATTTAAAAAAAAAAAAACGCTTTTTTTCAGTTTTATCTGCTTTTTTCGATGATTTAATAAAAAACAAATGCTTGTTTCTTGTTTTTTCTGTTTTTGTACATTAAAATATTTTCTTTATGACGCAGCCTACTCAGGTTTTTTTTATCGGTTTTTGATAGATCTAATAAAGATAATTCAATTTCCTTGCTTGTTTGTAGGAGTTTGTCTTTGTTATCTTATCTATTTGATAGCCAACGCCGTCCTCGGCATCGTTAACTTCTTTAGCTATGGTTGAAGTGTCATACTAGTGTGGTACTTGGTTGATTTCCTTTTTATAATGGATTTCTCGGTAAACAATATTTTTAGACCGCTATGGCATACTGGGATATCAACACAAATTTATATTTAATTTTTCAAAAAATCCATAAACAAGATATTTAACATTTCTTGTCATTCAACTTGAAAGTCGAAGTCAAACATCATTTTGATATTTTCAGAATTAATTTTTTGTATATTTTTTTTTTTTTTGTATTTTTAATTATAATTTATAATTAAAAGAATAAATTAATTAAATACCCGTATTTTTTTTCAATGAAATAATTTCATTTTAATGGTATTTATTTAATCCTAAAGTCCTAAAAAAGTATATTCAGCACAGTTACAAATATTTAGTACTTTATTATTTAAAAGAAAATTAAGAAATTTTTGGGGATTTTTTGATTAATTTTTTTATTTATGAATGCTTTTTTTTTATGTTTTATAGTGCTATAAGTCCTGAACCCTGGTTATGAAATAGGTGGGCAAGAATTGCCCATGCACTCAGACCTGTTGGTACATTGTGCACACCTTGTACCAAAATTTAGTAATTCAGTACTATTATGTACTCTTATATGTTCAACAAATCCTATCTCTTTAGTAAGATTAAGAGTTTCTTTGGGTTTTAAGTTTTGATATTTGATTTTTTTAACAAAATATTTTCCCAAGTAATTGGATTTTAATGTGGCTAAGATGTAATTGTGTGAAATGAGTTTTCCTTTTTATATTCAAAACTTTTTGCACAGTGCAACTATTGAAAAGACAATGTTATGTCAATAGTCCAGTCTCAGTCCTAATTTGATATCTAGTTATGCTACTAAGATCCCTTGGTAGTCTGGGGGAGTCTTGATAAACATTTTTGATTGTCTGGGTACCCTCAATTAAAAAGAAAAACAAGTTTATATGTAACATTTTTTCATTGTTAAAAATTTAAAGTTTTTCTTATTTTAATCCTCAAGATTATTTAGTAAATGAATCAAGATTTATTTTTAATTTCAAAAACTTATGCTTTAAAAACTTCCATACCAAAATAGCATATCATTAATTTAAAAATTAAATGAATTTATTCAATTCAAGAATTCAAGATAAAATATTTACTTTTTTTTTATTGATTTGAAAATATTGATTAACAAACCTTCATACATTAATGATAAGTGTTTTTCAATTGACCAAAAGCCATAAAGAGATGCTAATTTATGTAAAATAATCCTATGAGTATCATCCAAATCAGTAGAAGAAGTAGTCTCAATGAACTGTTTTAAGATTAAATACTACAAAAATGAGTTCAGAAAAATAAATTAGTCAATAATATTAATGTTTTAATAATATTTTACTTCAGCAAAAACAATTGACAAATCTCTAGCATAGAACATTTGACTTTCATTTCTCCTAGTAAATGAACATAAACCTTGTGCTTTTAATAAATTCAATTTTTCATCTGTTTGTTGCAATAAATAGCATATTATCCATTGAAAACAAGATATTAAGTCTAAAAAAAAATTTAATTACAAATAATTGCGCAAATTTCCATTACAAAAATATTTTGTTATTATTAAATATATGTTCAACTACTTGTATGAGTAGAACCTTCATCAATTTTAGAAATCTTAAATTTATCCAATAATATACAATCAGCTCTTTTAAGAAACTCAATGGTTCCTAAGGGAGTATCACATAGATTTATGTTTTCATCATCTAAATTTGACCAAACATTTAAAAGCCAATTACTCGTTTGTTGTATAAGTACATTATTATCACCTTCATAAGTACAATTGGCATCATTAGCATTTCTTAAATCATTTAATCCAGAAGCTTTTTCAAAAAAAAAAAAAATATATATATATATATTATATGATAATAGATTAATAGTGAATATAGGTTTAGATCAAGAAGACATTTGAGAGAAGAGCATTTTATTATTTCTGTTAAAGTGAGAACTATTTGTTCAAAAAATTACTTTTTTAGAAAATAATAATAATTATAATTTTGGGAGGACATTACACTTATAGCCCCTTGTATCTGCTTCTTCTTTTTCCTTGCTTAATCCCAACTACTTGGAGTCGTCTACCCTAAAATTCCAATTAACACAATCTCCCACATCAGGAGTCCTCATATTGCAATCAATCACATCTCTCCATATGTTTTTTGGTCTTCCTCTACTTCTTCTTCTTTTAACATTCAGCCCCTTGTATCTGCATACGTCTAAATTTGTCTTACTTTGTTTAATTTTAAATAGTTTATATGTAACATCTTAAGATTATATTTTTTTATAGACAAAATTAATATCTATAATTATTATTATTTATATTTTTGTAAAAAATTTAAAAGTTTTAAATGAAATTATTTTAATTTAAAAATAATAATAATAATAATAATACTAATAATAATTTCATTTAAGTTAATTAATATTTCTAAAAATAAAACCTTTTAGATATCCATGTCCACCACAAGCTTCCCTGCATTCCTGTATTGCATCTCGAGTAACCCATGCTGCATAAGGTTTGGTACAACTTGAAATAACATGAATATCAGTTCCAATTGATTGCTAAAATAAAATATTTAATGGTTAACTTGAGAGTATGTCATAATTTTTAAACCATTTTCAATTACTTACAATTTTATTAGAACTACTATTTGTTAACATTTCCAATATAAATGACTCATATACTCTTGATACATAATCTCCATATATTTTCAATGCATAAGCAACTGCTAAGTATGGAATCAATCGACATTGCTGACGGAAGAGATCATTTTAGAACATAATACAGTTTATATTTCAGAGAATGTTTCAAAAAATATCGTTTTAAATATTTTAACTTTTTGAAATTGTTTTTTTAATGAAGATAATTTGAAAAAAATTAAATAGTCAATGGGAACTAATTTACCAGAAGCTGATACTCCATGACTGGTAACTCTTCACTTTCTTTTGGTCCAAATTGTTTTCTTACTGCTGTGTATCTTATAGCAATGGGTACAGCTTTTGTTATGTATGCTACACAAATGTTGACAATAGTTAATCTACCTGCTGACAAACTCCCTAATGAAGCACCTATATAAAGTTATTTAATTATAATTATGTTCAACACTAGAAAAACAATAAAATATAAAATATTACCCAATCTTTTTGTATTGTCTTTAAATGGTGTTACATATAAACCATCATCATTAATATCACCTGCTTTACTAAGTAAACTTTCTTTTGGAATGTGGTAGTTGTCAAATATAATGAAACTATTTTTAAAAAAGTTATATACTAATATTTTTAAGAAAAGGATTAATGCTTAAAAAGTATCATACAATTATTACACATTTCTTGATTACTCAGCAAAAAATTATTTTTAGACCCATTCCTTATAAATTTTAGGAGTGTTAACTTTATTTTTTTAAATATGAACATAGAAAATTAACTAGCTTCTTTATTATATAATGGATATTTTTATAAATTATACTAACCCATTGTCCACTCCATTTAAATTTGCTTTTTCACCCAAGTCTCCAATAATAACCCCAGAACATGGTAGCATTGTTTTTACATCCCTAATTTTTACAACAAATGCATGCAATCCATTATTATCGCCATTACTCATGATTAAATTGGCCCAAATGATTGCATGTGTACTCGATTTCCCTAAACCCGTAAAACAATTTTATATAATATATAATAATTTATTATAACTAATATTGTATACATCTTTTATGTACCTAAACTTCCAACCCAACATTTAGCTGCTTCAAAATCTGGAGTATGCAAAATAAATTGTCTTTTTTCATTATTATAAGTACATATTGTCCTCATTCCTTTTGTGTTTGTACCATGAGAAATTTCAGTCAGTGCAAAACACCCAGGCACCTTAAAAAAATAGAATTAATTCTTTTAAAAATACAACATTTTCCACCATTATAAGCTAAACAAATTATATTACTTTTCCTTCAATTGCATACTGGTAGATATCTGAATTTCTACCATTATCCATAGTGAAAATAACATTTGCAAACATATCAAACGAAAGTCCAAGTTTTATAGCAACAGATGGGCAATATTGAAAAATTGTTATTGTTTTAGACATAGCCTTAAAAATTTTAAAAGTTAAATATATAACTCACGAATGTCATGATATTTTTTGACATACAAGTTTTGGATTAATCATTATTTCTTCAAATGGAAATAAGTTTTTTTCCAAAATATCATACATTCTTAAAAGAGCCATTTTTCGCTGTTCATCTAATGATGGTGTTTCATTTTCATGTTTAAACAATGGATTAGATTCAAAATAGTTCCAAGCTCTCATCTAAAATAATTATCAGTATAACCATTATTATTATTACAGTTTATTAAAAGGATTTTTATGTAAAATGTTCAAAAAGTGAAAAAACAAGTTAATTTTTACAAAAAATTGGAACAGTTGAAACTCCTATTCCAGTGATATTTTGTGGGTATACAAAGTACCTTAAAACGTAGTATTTGTTCAGTTTCAATAAAAACTTTCATTTTTTTCCAATCTATAGTAGATTTATTTCTGTATTTATCCAATGGACCTGGTTCAAAATCTTTTAATAGGTCAGCACAAGTATTCATTTTTAACTAAAACAATAAAAATTGTTTAAATTATATTGAATATTGTTTGTATGATATGCGTATTTAATTGAAATATACATAATTGTGGTTAAGTGCTTATAAAAATATGTATGCACGTTTTAATTTGTGACATTAAGAGTATATAGGGTGTAATGGTCATTATTTTGATAAACAAATATTAAATTTTAAGTTTTATTATCTAAAATAAATGAAATATAAAAATAATTTTTTTTATGTGTCTTTTTAAACAATTTTCTTTCATTATTATACTACTAAATCAAATTTACAATTTAATCTCTTTATTCAATTGAAATAACTTTTATAAAGTCACTGATAACCTTGGTATTCTTTGCACTTAATTATAAAATACTTCAATTTTATTGATACAAAAGTACTTTGAATAAATCTGTTCAAATTATACATTACAACATGTTTTATTTAATAAATTTGTGATAAAATGCATAAAATAATTTTCGTATTATTAATTTCTAATGACTTTTTTCACTTTAGAATATAAATTTAAAAACAACACTGATAATTTAATATTTAATAATCAAAGAAATAAACTAATTTATTCAATATTTAAATGAATGTCTCCATACATAGGTTTATAAAACAGTTACATTATGCACAATTAATGAATGTGTTTAAAAGGTTTTAAAAGGTTAAAAGCATATTTAATTCCAGTGAAAAATAACTGATAATTCATTCAGTTACCGTTAATATTTAAATATACATCACAAATTTCACAATATTAACTTTTTAATAAAAATAGAAATGGTTTCCATCTGTGTATCTATCTGTCCTCAATAGATACACATACTTATGACAGGAGATCAAACTTTAGGGTCAAACCTAGACAATGATAATAACCAAGTTGGGTTGAGTAATTATATATGATGTAACTTTAAATTTTTTTTTTTATTTTAATAAAAAAAATTCTAATTGTGTATAATGTAAATTTATTTAAAAGTATAATTAGGAGTGTTTGGGCAGTCAGATATTTTTATGTTCCAGTTAATTATATTGTAAGATACAACTTTTTTTAGGAAGGAATATATAGAATTAGAATAGTAGTTATAAATAATACAATATTTCAAAAGTTATATGATAAAAATTATAAATTAATATTGCAAAAATAAATTTTTTTAGCACACCTCTGGACTTGTTTAACTTGGATTGTTTAACTTGCATGGAAAGGAAAACTATTTTTGTTAGTACCCCTTATCTCTCAATTAAAATCTTGGTGCATGCGTGTTTTTGAGGGGGCTTAACCAGAACTCATATCATAAAATGCTTTTATTAGTGTAACTCAGTAAATATTCCTCAAAATATGCTTTGCCCCTTTATACATGTAGGTATTCCATTTCTGCTTATATGACTATAAAGTTACAAATACTCTATGTACTAAAACTCAGTATATATTTAAATTATATAATATAAACAATAATAATTAAAAATCATACATCTAAACCATTCAACAAATTGTTGTTCTGATTCCTACTCAGTTGGGAAGGTCCTAATAATTGCTTCAATGATAGAAAAAAATGTGCAAAAAAGGTTATTTTATAATTTAGTAATAGGAAAGAATATACTATATAAGTTGATAGATTCTCATGCATTAATTCTCTATATAACAATAAAAAATGTTGACATTTTAAGAAAATACATAATTGAATGATTATTTAAAATTAATTTTATGAAAAAAATCTTCATCATTATGCATTGTTAGGTCTAATAATGAGAGATTTTATATTCATCTTAAATCACTTTAAGTAACATGACAAAAATTTTTTTAAAATGAGCACTTGCTAAAGTCTTCATATATTAATTCAATCAATATAATTAAGTTTTCTTGTTTGCAAATTTACAAATTTGTATAAACATCTAGGCGACTCTTTACTATATAAGTTTTTATTTTATCTTAATTAATNAAAATCTGCCCTTGCACAAACATTTACCATTAAAATAAAATAGGATGAAGGTATATTACTATGATCAAAAATATGTTTTTATGATAAAAGAAAAAATTAATGATCATATATAACACTGCCAAAATAATTTCACATTTTGTTAATTTGAGTTATTATCAAAGAATAATGTATTGGTGATATAGGTAGATTATAAAACTTAAATAATAAAATGGACATACATGATGTTAAGATTGCTATAAATAATTCCATCTTTCAAATTTAAATAATTAATAATATTTTTATCTAAAATTTAGTTTGTATTACCTTTGTTTTATTTGAACTAACAAATGGAAATTTTGTTTGCCCAAAAATATTTATTTTATTTCCAAATCTTTTCATTTTTCTCCTAAAGTCAAACATATATCTAATAATTTAAATTTATAAATTCTTTACTTATATTTGGACTTCTTGATAAAAATTTTATTATTTACTTGTAAATAATAAAATCTACTAACTTAAATATAATGTAAGTAAATTTTAACCATTTTCAATATAATGTTTTTAAATGCGAACATAAACATGTTTATTTTTGCATGAGAATATCACAAATTTAACTTGATCAATTTTATCTTACAGTACATTTAATTTTCTTACAAATACACAAAGAAGTTCTCAGTTTAAAAAAATTATTCAATAATATAATTCATCATACCTAAAATTTAACTTCATTGCTATTATTTCTGTAATTCATTTTTAAACAACAGTTTTAAATAATTGGATTTCACTGAGTATTGGAAAAATTGTATCATAAATAATTTAACTTTATGAATAATTAATTATTTTGAAAATTTAAAATTAATTCATAAGAAAAATTTTTTTCTAAAATATATTTGTATTTATTGATAAGAATCAGTTATGTTTGATTATAGGACAAGTTAGACTTATAAGTATATGTAGATGTACTGACAAACAATAGAAAATAATATATATATATAGCCTCTAAAAACAATGAAGTATTTGGGTTTTTTTTTTTTNGGCAGTCAGATATTTTTATGTTCCAGTTAATTATATTGTAAGATACAACTTTTTTTAGGAAGGAATATATAGAATTAGAATAGTAGTTATAAATAATACAATATTTCAAAAGTTATATGATAAAAATTATAAATTAATATTGCAAAAATAAATTTTTTTAGCACACCTCTGGACTTGTTTAACTTGGATTGTTTAACTTGCATGGAAAGGAAAACTATTTTTGTTAGTACCCCTTATCTCTCAATTAAAATCTTGGTGCATGCGTGTTTTTGAGGGGGCTTAACCAGAACTCATATCATAAAATGCTTTTATTAGTGTAACTCAGTAAATATTCCTCAAAATATGCTTTGCCCCTTTATACATGTAGGTATTCCATTTCTGCTTATATGACTATAAAGTTACAAATACTCTATGTACTAAAACTCAGTATATATTTAAATTATATAATATAAACAATAATAATTAAAAATCATACATCTAAACCATTCAACAAATTGTTGTTCTGATTCCTACTCAGTTGGGAAGGTCCTAATAATTGCTTCAATGATAGAAAAAAATGTGCAAAAAAGGTTATTTTATAATTTAGTAATAGGAAAGAATATACTATATAAGTTGATAGATTCTCATGCATTAATTCTCTATATAACAATAAAAAATGTTGACATTTTAAGAAAATACATAATTGAATGATTATTTAAAATTAATTTTATGAAAAAAATCTTCATCATTATGCATTGTTAGGTCTAATAATGAGAGATTTTATATTCATCTTAAATCACTTTAAGTAACATGACAAAAATTTTTTTAAAATGAGCACTTGCTAAAGTCTTCATATATTAATTCAATCAATATAATTAAGTTTTCTTGTTTGCAAATTTACAAATTTGTATAAACATCTAAGCGACTCTTTACTATATAAGTTTTTATTTTATCTTAATTAATTAAAAACTATAGTACAGCTTTTAAATGATATTTGAATTGAGGCTAAAAAGTATAATAAATCGACTTACTTAAAAAAATATTTTCTTGATAACTTATTTTCTATAAATATGTTTCTTTTGTTAATTCATTTACTTAAGAACAAAACGGGAGATTAGGGAGGGTACTTTATAAAATGAATTTATAGAAATTTTATTAAAATATTAAAAATTGACAATGATTTTTATTATACGACTTTAAATTTGATAAAAAGCATTTTAATACAATATGCTAAAAAATATTACTGTTTCACTAACATGATTTTTGTCATCTAAGTCATCAAGAATGCAGGCAAGTAACTTTTGGCCCCCACTTATTTTTTACTTTTTTTGTTGATTATCAGACATTTTTTGTTAGAATCATTCTAACAAAAAAATAGGCCATGGAGATTTTATTTTATGGTATTTATATTAAAGATTTAGAGTAATAAATGTATAACTTAATGACAACATACAAAATTTTATAAAATAACGTAACTTTATTATCAATAAATTTACGATGATCAATAGTTGTAGATAATACTTATCTATAATCTTAAATTTAAAGGTGTACCCAACTTAAAAATCAACTTTTTTTTTAATTTCAAGAATTAACAAAAAATATGGTAGCGAAATTTATTTTCAGATTTCCAATTGTTGACTTACGGGTGATATTAAATAGGCGCGTGACGTCACGGATTCTATTTTGTCAGCGACGGTCAGGGCCGGATTTAGGGGATGGCTGAGTGGGCTACAGCGCAGGGGCCCCCACACATTTGGTATACATTGGTATCACAAATATGATAATAATTGTTATTTAATAAGTAAAAAAATATATTTCCTTGTTTATGTATAAGGGGCCCCCACAATGCATTCCACCCAGGGACCACCACATACCTAAGTCCGCCCTTGGCGACGGTCATACGTTTCTTATGAGACGTTAACTTTAAACTATCATAATTAAATAAACTAAACATATCTTATTTATTTTACCTAAGAAGCTTTTTTAAAGAAAAAAAGTATTATCTATTTTTTTCATATAACTTTTTAATGAGCTGTGATCATTTCAAGTTGTAAATATAATTAATTAAAATATTTCTTTTTGTGTTATATGACCATTACAATATAAGGTATACATTTTATATAAATAAAATTTTTTCATATTGTAATAACTAGTAATAAAGTTTATCGGGGTGGTATTAATATTAAAGTACGATAATGGCATCATTCGTAAAGATATAATAAATACAAGTACTTTGATTTCTAGTTAATACTTGATTAGTGTAGTTAGTATGTTAATACTACTCTTACCTGATATTCACTGAAATAGCGATGATAGAATCCCGGCTGGCGATTTGCAGTGGTCCGATGCATTTCTTTAAATTAGAAGAAGTGTGTATTAAGAAAAAAATTATTTCTTAATTATAGAAGCGTAATTATTTCTGAGCAAAAGGCGTCAGCCTTGCTTAGTGGGTAGAATCGTATGTTTCATCACACGGAGTCCCGGATTTGATCCCTAGGGTGCCAAAGAGATTTTTCTTGTGATTTTCTCATTTGTGGTCTCTGGTGCAAGCTGACCATAATACTCGTTCCATCCATCATTGACTTAACCAAGAACTATTTTTGGCTACCTATCACGTGAAGCTCATCTTGTAGACTTTTAAGTTCGGGAAATAGAAGTGTTACTTTGCTATTTGGCGCCTCCGTTAATTGTTACGTTGATATTTAGGGGTTGACCCTAAATGTCCTCCAATAGTATTCTAAGGGACCAACAGGGGATAGCTGGCTAGGCTATATGTACCTTAAATTCTAAGGTTTCCTATTTACTTTATATTCCCTTAAAAAAACTACTAAGGGTCACACTACAATATATATATATATATACACATATATAACACTCTTGGTTTGCAAAGATTTTTGAAATTTTTATTAAATAAACTATACAACCTGCTGGACATCTAAAGATGATAATAATCTAAAAAGGAGCTGACGGCGACACTACAGACTATTTCGGTGGTAGCTAATTTAAGTTAAATATAAAACAAAAGAGTAATGGTCGCGATGATGGTAAAAAGTCAACAGCCGTTTGGGACATAAGTATTATTCCAAAAATGTTTATGTGAGCAGTCTGACCTCCTGTAGTAATACGTGTGTCATTTTACCAACGTTACAAGCCTAGTCGGCGGTACAATAATGTTGTGGCATATGATCACGTATGTGATCGTATTAGAAGAATGAAAAAAATTATCATTATTATTTATTTCTAAGGAAAGTGTTAATTATTTTACACTAATGTAAAATTTTAGACTAAGTGAAAGAAATTAAGCTAAAAGACGGAAAACAGACAAAGAATACACTGATATAGACTGTAAGAGAAAAACTAAGGTTTGACAGATGAAAAGAAGTGGGGAGTCAGGAACTATAGTTCTTAGCCCTCTTATAATAGACAAATAAGTGGTTAGTCAATATGTGGACGACATAAATGGGGCTTATGGCGTTGGATCCCCATTAGCATCAAAATGTAAAATATTGTTATTGTTGATAAGTGTATGTCCTCCTCCGTTAATCTTATGAATAATTCTAGTAAAAAGATTTTTATTATTATGTTTTACAAATTTTATCTCAATATAGGAAAATATACAAGAAAGACATAAAGGCCATAATTTCTTAAAAATTTGTAATTTTAATGTCAAGTTTTTTATTGATACAAAAAGATCTCATGATATCAGAAATAATAAAAAGGTGCTTTTAAAATTTCTTCCAGGATCAACGTCCAATATGCAAATGTCAAATTAAAAATAATTTTGAGTGCTATAAAATAAATAATTAAAAGTATTTAGTTAATCAAATATAAACTCTACTAAATAATATTTAATAAAATATTCAAGTTTAATGGCGTAAGATCTGTTTAGGATAAATTTAATTTTTCCCCTTAAAAATATAATTATTATACAACAATGCATACAATACAATATAATGTATTGAAACAATGAAATAACATTAGAATTTTGGATTAAAATCATTTTAAAAAACTTTAACATTCTGTAACTGATGATTAGATAAAAATGAACAAAATTGTTTGTAACTTTTTCATTTTATCATATGATAAAGTTAAAAAAAAAAAAAAACATCATAGTAACATCAATATCTTCTCAGCTTCGCATCGAAGCTAATAAAATAATGATGTGAACATAAGCTGATTTAATTTTTCAACTTTTAACCTATTAAGAAAAAATAATTTATACCTAAATACTAATAACAAATAAGTTATAAATAATTTTTAAAATAAATATAAATTATAAACAATGTAAAATTTATTTTATTTAAAATTAAAAACAATTCCTGCCTTTTTTTAGTCATATTTTTATTACTATTATTTAGAGCACGCAAATAACAAATCCGGAACACTTTCAAACTTTAAGTTGAAAAAATTAATTTTTTAAGTAAAAAAAATTGAAAAAGGAAACAACTTAAAAATTCGCTACTTGACACCAAAATTTTTTGATGTTTAAAATCCGAACAAGGATAGATATTTTTATTTTCAGAAAATCAAACCAAAAAGTTAAAAAAAATAAAGTATTTCAATGACTATTTGGGATTTTATCGTTCAGTCAAGATGTTAGTGTAATAACTCGAAAATTGTTTGATATATTTCAATTAAAATTAAATTTTTAGATCTGTGGAGTTTTTCAACCAAATAATTTCACTTTTTAATAATTTGTTATTCTCGACAATTTCTGAGACTATAAGTTATTTATTCAAATTTAGTCAACTAAAAGCCGGGTAGTCTAGCTGTTGTTATATTTCAAAAAATGAACGAAAACATTCTTGATATTATTAAAAAAATAAAAACATTGTATATCAAAATTGCCTATCCATGTCACTAAAAATTATTTTAAAATGAAATCTATATTAAAAGACAGTAACCCTTCTAATTTTTTTATTACTTTAATTTATAAAGTTTTTGATTTTACTAGATACGTTACTATGGTTAAGATGAATAAATAACTACAATTTACAACCTTTACTTTTCACTTTCATAGTCAACTCTCCAGACTACGTTCTCTGCTGTACTTAAGTAAGCTAATATTTCGTTTCGCATTGTTTCTCTTATATCAATCATTCAAATAATGGCCCACAAAGTTGTACGTCAAATGATGGCTGTATTATTCATCATATTTGAACTTGTGATGCGTTTTAATGTGGATATCATTACTAATGTCATTATTCATTTTATCATTGTTATGTTTGCCATTAACATGGAAATTATAAAGAATAAGACGTCATCCAAAAAGCGTAAACCTTTGATTGATCCTCGAGACAAGGACCGTGTGTTACGTTTTGTCGGCAACTACTTGACTACCATGATCCATTTTCCTGAAAATCTGTGGACACTTTTCTACAAGTCGGGACAGTATCAGGAAATTTATAAGTATTCAGGACCTGATGTATTTGCTCATAGTCGAACCAAAATACGAGACAACATTGATTGTCAGTACTTCAAACATGCTGATCTGGAGATCGATTTGTGTAACATTCAAGAATATCCAGACTTGGTGTGGCTGGTTGACGTGTACGCCTCCATAAGACAACCTCGCCTTGAACGGCGGCCTAGGTTTTTTAATCAAACTTTTATGATTAAACGTGTAAAACCACATTGTTTTAAAGTACTTGCGACTACTATCAAGTACCACAAAACAGTTCGCACATAGTTGGGTAAACTCCGTTTAAATTGATCAATAATAAATCTACATACATTTACTTTATATTTTTTTTAGAGAAACGTATAATTGTGTTTTTTATTAGTGTCTGGCGATTGAATTTTTATTAAGAAATTTTCAGCTAATTGTAATTTATTTGAAACAATAACGCTTGATTTAAAATATTTTGTATTTTTTAGAAATTGAAAATTTAAACCATTAAACATGGATGTCATATGTCTGTGTTCAATTATACTTATTTGCCTCAATATTTTTCAATAATTAACAGATTCGATATGACTAGCAAAAGTAGCTTAAAATTTATGTTGTCTAAATAAAAACTTTAATTGGTCAGTTGACAAAAATACGTTATGATATAAAATATAAAAAAATTAAATATCTTGTTAATTTAACTTATATATAATGTTCTAGGAATACACATGTCAAATTTGGAATAACGCAACAACAAAATAATCTCTGGTATACAACATATTAATGTAAGCAACATTCGAATGCTTACAAAATTATTTCTTTTATTGTTTTATGCTTTTGCATGATTTTACTTTATTTGCAGTTTATCTTAAAGAATTTTGTTCTATACATTTTATATTATTTACTATAATTGATTAAAATCATATAAATATAAATATCTATTTCTAATTGTTGATAATTAAATCTAATTATATACGAATATATTATTTTATTATTGTTTTATAAATAATTAACGTATTGTAAAGATAATGAAATTCAGTTTAGAAATAAAATAAAAAAGTTGAAAAAAAATGTAATTTTGTACACAATTATGTAAACATTTAAATCTATTCAATTATGTTCATTATAGTAGGAAAAATATAAACTTGTGCTATATATAAAAAACGGTAGCACAGTGGGGTCGAGGCACAGTGTGGACGAGGCATAGATGTACCAATTATAGATGATATCTGACAGTGATTAAAATCACTATCATAAGAAATGCTTCGATGCAAATCTGTAGATAGTGTTTCATTTAGAGAAATTGGCGGATTATTCCAAAAGCAACATCAACTCTTATTTCTTTAATTATATCCTGATTAGTAGTTCTTTGATTTTCAAATATAATATATGAATAAATACTAATTATAGTTTTTAAATTCAGTATGAAATTGTGAGGCCAGCTATGATGTATGGTTCATAGTGTTGGGCGGTTGATAAGAAAGTAGAGCAGAGAATAAGTGTAGCAGAGATGAGAATGCTTAGTTGGATGAGTGGAGTGACTAGAGAAGATAGGATAAGGAACGAGCATATAAGAGGAAGTATAGGTGTTGCGTCAATCGTGGATAAGATGACAGAAAATAGACTTAGATTGTTTAGTCATGGTATGAGGANATGACAGAAAATAGACTTAGATTGTTTAGTCATGTTATGAGGAGAGAAGAATCGAAAGCTGTAAGAACAGTTATAGAAATGAATGTTGAAGGAAGAAGAGATAGAGGAAGAACAAAAATAGAGATGGAGGGATACTATTAAATGCGATTTGAGGACAGCTCATGTGAGCGTAGAAGATGTGGAAGATCGTGTCAAGTGGAAGCTTAGGATAAGGGTGGCCGACCCCAAGTATTTGGGATTAAGGCAAAGAAAAAGAAAAAGATTACTAGAAATTCCGGTGGCAATTGACATAATACGATTGTTGTTTGGGAATGTACAATTTAGCGTTTATTTGGGTTTAAACAATATAGCGTCAAATCAATTACCTACTCTATCGCTTGTATATTAATATACACTACACTTTAATGATACAATAAATAAATAAACTCACACATACACACATATGCATTTATAACATTGTGTCTAATGTAAGTATAACATGAAAAAAAGTAACCGTAAAATGAAAAAAATGGAATATAAATTTTAGTACTCATATTAAATGTAATGTAACTCGAAAAATATTTGTTTAAATGAAAAAATATAAGATAACTTTTTTGTTTACAATTGTATTTTAAACAACTTTTGTATGAAACTTTTTTTTGTAAATTAAATATTTTTTGAGAAAATTTAAAAAGCTCATATTTTTGAACTTTTGCGAGGCTGTAAAAAAAAAGCTCAATTCCAATCAATGAGGACTATTAGTATGTCATTATACATATTTTAATTCAACTTTTAAAAAANTCATTATACATATTTTAATTCAACTTTCAAAGAACAAAATTTGGTTGGGAATTTTTTCCGCAATTTTTCCTTTGTTGACTGGCCTAGATGTAAATTTTAAACTTTGAGCTAATTGTAATTGAGCTAAAAGTTATGATAATATATTCAATTTTTTTTACTATAAACTTTCATAAATCTTTATTAACAATTTTTCATCAACTTGAAAGAACCAAAAAAATAGGTTAAAATTGAAAATTTGGACTGATTATTTTTAACATATTAAAAATCAAATCAGTAATAATTTGAAAACAAATTTTTTTTTCTTTTAATTATTATTTTANGAAAACAAATTTTTTTTTTCTTTTAATTATTATTTTATATATAACATAACTCGGCAACCGTACGTTGGTTGGTTGGTCGGTTGAAAAAATTGGCTATTTAAGCTAATTCAAATTTCAAAGTTATTTTTCTTGACTTAAAAGAAGTAAACAAATTTAAATAAGTTTAACTTTCTATGCTATATTAATTTTTTATTTATATAATATTTATGAAAATCTGTACTCCCCTTGTCAGGTATTTTAAAATAAAATAAAATACAAAACCCAGAATTTTAACACAAAAATAGCAAATTTTTGAATACGGTAGTCATTTTTACCATGAAGACAAATCCAGAGGTCACATTTTTTTTTTTAAATTAAAGTATATTATATAAGCTTTAATTTAAGATATATATAAAAGTGTCAGTATTTCCGGAATACTTTCAAAAATTAAATTGAAAATATCATAGTAACAATACGCATGATTAAAGTTTTGACCCCCCTTGTTAAAGGGGTATGATCCGATTTACAAAAAAAGCGTGTAGATGAAAGGAGTATATAAATATTTATTATAAAAAAATAATAATATTGATCCATACATTTTTCCAAAAGTTATATAAAATATAAATTAAATAATATAACATATAAAATCGAGATTTTTTTCACGGAAATCGTACGTTTTTCTTTAACTTTGATGTCCGTTTTCACCACGAAGACAAGTCCAGAGGTCAAATTTTTTTTTTTCAAATTAAAGTATATTACATAAGCTTTAATTTAAGATATATATAAAAGTGTCAGTCTTTCCGGAACATTTTCAAAAGTTAATTTTTTGTGAAAAAATTGTCATTTTGAATCCCCCCTGTGAGCTGGTAAAGGGTTAAATTTATAAAAAATCCGATTTNGAGCTGGTAAAGGGTTAAATTTATAAAAAAAAATATACCAAATGATAGGTAAAAACATCAAGCATCTATAAAAAAAAAGTTATATTGATTTGTTCATTTTTGAAAAAGTTATGGCAGTTTTAAGTAAAACAAATTGAAAAAATTTCGAAAATTAGCGATTTTCAAATTTGTAATTTTTTTGGAGGTTTCCCCCGTTTACAGGGATTGAGGGAAGTTTTTTCAATTTTTGAGGGTAATGTCTTCGAATAGATACGATTTGTGATCTTTTGACATATTGTTCATCAAAATCGGTCCAGCGAGAGCTGAGATTGAGCGTTCACAGACACAAAAAAAAAAAAAAATAATAAAAAAAAAACACAACATAGTAAAATTAATACCTTCTAAGCTTCACATCGAAGCTAATAGGGATTCCTTCTTTAGAAGTTTTTTTAACTCTGAAAGGGCGAAAAAAACAATTTTTTTACCATTTATATTATTGTAAAGTTTATTGAACCAAATGGTTTTCTTTTTACAAAAATTAAAAATGTTTAGTAGTTTTTGAGAAAATTAGTCTTACCTAATTTTGACCAATCTATATAATGTTTCTAAATTTCTGGGGGTTGGATTTGAGTATAGTAGTTAACTGAAGAGATAAGCCCCTTAACCACCCTACTCTAAGCCTATATTCAGAGTACTTGAAGAGTATTAATATACTAGTATTTAAATTCATATATTAAATTACGAGATAATATAATATAAATTAATTTACGAGATATTGTATATCTGTACCTTAGAGATCAACTATCGAAAGATCATTTTTTTTATAAGTGATACAATTTAATTTAAAAACTTTTTTATAGACATTTTAAAAATAGTCGTTTTTTAACAAAATTTAACTTTTTATATATATTCTCAAAGGTACAGATTATGTCCCAAACCTTTTTCGCTGGCCAAGAGGCTCAATTGGGGAGAATTTAGCTCCTTTCTTTCTTCTGCTACCCGCTAATAAAAAATAAAAAATTATATTTATTGTTATATAAAATATTTTTTACGATATGAAAATAAGTTAACCTCTATTCAATTTTTTGTTAATTTTTGAGAAAATATGAAGGTTTGCTTAATTTTTTACTGTCACACAATTAAGTATTTATAACAAGCGTCAGCGATTCATCGATCTCTCCTTGCCTTGTAATATATTTGGCGGCGGCGCAAAACTTTCAAGGTCACTGATCACCCACAGAGGTACTCAACATTCACTATAAACTTCGTCCAGTCGTTATTTTGTCAGGCGGTATTGGCATTGTTATTACTTCTAGTTTTCTATAATTGTTATTCCAGTCAAATTCTCTGCAATAATTAATATATTTTTGTGTTCGTTGACAAAATAATCAAAATGTTTAATTTAGGTGGAGGTAAGTTAGAAGAATATATTTTATTTTAAGATGTGTTAAATTCAGATATGTACTTTTTAGAAGAATATTTAACTTTGATTTTAAGGCAATAAAAATTTTTTTTTATTAAATTTTTGAATTTACGATATTGATATTTTATTAAATGTAACAAATTTTTACAATATAAATATGTTTATTTCACTATGTTTATGTTTATGTTTATTATGTCATGTTTGACATAATATTTATGTTATTTTTTTAAAGTTATGAATTATTCAATTTATTAAAAAGTTGACCTTGAAAAAATAATGTTCTAGAACAAATCTAATAGTTGTCCCTTTGTAAAGATAAAATTTAGAGCAAATTTTTATAATTTACCCATTCACTTCCATATAGTATAGCCTTAATTTTTTTGTATATATATTATATACAAGGTGGCCCACCACTCACTGACAACTTAAATAACTTATTATTAAGTTAGGTCTATTATAGACCTAACGTATAACTATTATTAAAAAAAAAAAATCAACTAAAAATATTAATTGGATCAAAAGTTATTTAAGTTGTCAGTGAGTGGTGGGTCACCTTGTATATATATATATATATATATATAATAATATGTAATAATTCTTTTAAAAATATAATATATGACAAATTTAGAAATATTAAATTATAACACAGTTGGAATTACGAGGAATAGGGTAGTGTATAAATTTTTGGAACAATAGTCCGGTATTTGTGCATAAAAGCTGACAAATATAACAAATACAATAAAGACCTGAGCCTTTTTTTTTATAATCAATATTTATACGTTATAACAAAATGCACACGTAAATAACTTCATAATGGTACTACATGTGTTCAAACCAGTGGTACCAATAGATGTTACACAAAATTTTGTACAAAATTGATCTATAATACAAAAAATTAAAAATTTGGACAGCTCTTATGCATAAACATCGTCCGAAAATAATTGCAGTCGGAAATTTAAGCTATTTAGTTTTCATACGATTTTTTTCAATTCTTTTTTAAATAGAAAAATTTAACTCAACAACATTATCTAAACAAAAAAATAACCAATTTAAACAATTACACTTATTTGTAAAGGAAATTATGTGACCTCACCGTACCAGTGGATTCCATTTCTGATTGTAAATGTTGATTTTGTTTTTTTTTTTAACTCTTAATTTTTTTTTTCTTTTGAGACAACTTGTTGACAAATCCTAACATGCAACCAGGTCTACCTTTCTGTCTTTGTAATAACAAAAATGTTTTATCTTTCTCAATTTTCATCATATCTAATGCATTAAAATGAGAAATATCAAATAAATCGTTTAATTGTTTCGTATATTGACTGATTTTATTGGTAGTTATATTGACGAATTTTAAAGTTAATATTATTTAATTTTATAATTTTTTATGAGCATTCAGATCATTTTACAGATTTTCTTTTAGCATTTTATTATTAATTGTTTAATTATTTTATTTGATTTAAAAAAATCATCAATTTTTTTAATTATCATAGAAAATGATTATTATTTATATGTTTTCTTAATTACCTCGTCAAAAAATACGTAAAATAATTTTTTTTTTTACATAACTATAGAAAATTTCAAACAACATGAAAATTTTTTTTATAACTTGAATGGTTCATTGTATACATTTAAATTGCCAAAATATATGAATTTTACTAGTAAACATAATATTTATGGGACTTTTGACTATTAGGGGGTAAATATTTGATTTATGAGTTTTCTACTAATAACCTTTTTTTTAAAATAATTACGTGTATAATTTCTTTCCTATAAATTTTTACGTAAAATCATTCATTTTGAGATAAAGCACAATAACTAAAATACTACCCATTTGATCGAATTTTGAACCCTCTTGCGACACGTGTTAACGTCAACCTATCGGGGCCAAATTTTGCACAGCTTATTTTTACATGTAGTAGAACAATTTTTTGGTGCGCGTAAATCAAATTTTGAAAATATGTATTCTAAGGACCACCCTATTATACATCTATATAATGTAGACCTTTATATTAGTTTAATTTAATAGTACATTTTGTTAATTATACAAAGAATCAACTAATTTTTCTGATTAACTAAACACATTTCAGCATTAAAAAATATCACAGATAAAGCTGAAGGACTGTTGGAAGAAAAGAAAACGGCTGCAACAGCTTTACTCGAAAAACAAGTAAATTATTTATATTATGGTACAATTTATTATCTAATTTATAAAAATAAATTTAATTAAATTTATTATTGAAGTAGTTTAAATGCTCCTAATATTTAAATATGACGACTTTCATTGTGCCAATTATTTATTAAGAATTATGTAAATTTATTTAGTTCACTAATAATGCCCAGACAGTATTTTTTTTTTTTTTAATAATATTACAGTAATGTTGTTATAATTTTATTAAAACTTATAATGTTATAAGAATGTTTTTATAATATTATTTTTCTAAATTTTTGTCGTCTAGGTAGTCATAAACTTTAATAAAGGGAAAAGATTCTACCAATACAGTCAAAAAAATAAAGTAGTGTTAATTCAACGCTACATGGAATGTTTATTACTGTTTTAACTGTTAAACCTTTCAATTTGTTAAATTCTATTTGAGTACAAAAGTAAAATCTCTTTCTAAAAAGAAGAATGTATATTCATAAAATGCAATATATTATATTGCTGCGGATAGAAATTAATTAAATAACATAATAGTTTTCAAACAAAGTAACAAAAATTCGTTAATATTTTAACTTAGATGCGAAACTGAGAAAGTATTAATTTTACTATGATGTGTTTTTTTTTTTTTTTTTGTCTGTTACCACTTTTTCTCAGCTCTCACCGAACCGATTTCTTTCAATGACACGTCAAAAGATCACAAATCGTATCTAGTCGATAACATTACCCTCAAAAATTGAACAAATTTTCCTCGTTCCCAGTAAATGGGGGAAACCTCCAAAAAAATTACAAATTTGAAAATCGCTAATTTTCGAAATTTTTTCAATTTTTTTTACTTAAAACTGCCATAACTTTTTCAAAAATGAACAAATCAATATAACTTTTTTTTTATAGATGCTTGATGTTTTTACCTATCATTTGGTATATTTTTTTTATAAATTTAACCCTTTACCAGTTCACAGGGGGGATTCAAAATGACAATTTTTTCACAAAAAATTAACTTTTGAAAGTGATTCGGAAATACTGACAATTTTATATATATCTTAAATTAAAACTAATGTAATATACTTTATTATGAAAAAAAAAAATTGACATCTGGACTTGTCTTCGTGGTGAAAATGGCTACCGAATGCTATTTTTGTGTGAAAATTCTTGATTTTATTTTTTACATTTTTAACTTAATAATTCTATAACTTATTGAAAAGTGTATGGATCAACACAATTTTTTTATGAGAAATAATATTTTTTAATAATCCCTTTTTTATTCAGGATATTAATAAGAAAATAGCAGATCATGTAGTTTTGGAATAATTCACCAATTTTTTTAAATTAAACACTATCTAAAGATTTGCATCGAAGCGTTTTTTTTGATAGTGATTTTAATCACTGTCAGATATCTTTATACTTGATCCAACTATGCCACGTCACCACTGTGCCGCGACCCCCCTGTGCTGGGTTTTTTTTCTAATAACTTCTTTACACCTTTATTTTAATCTAAATAAATGCTGTACTTTTTATTTTATTAAAAGAACTAGCTTTTTTTTTATTAGGTAATTGTTAAACATACGTTTTTTAAACTTCATTAATACTCAGTCACTCCTACATTAAAAAAATTATATAAATCCATATATGATTTTATTGAATTTTTGAAGATAAAATTTTTTCTATTGTAAAAATTAAATGCTTTACGAAGAAATCATAATTTCAATATTTCAAATATATCAAATTTCATAACTAAGGTTACTTATTATATTATTTAGGACAATTTTATAGCTTCAATTATCAAAAATATTTAACATTAAAAGAATTTCTAGAAAATTAGTTATTTTATTTCTTGTTTATTTTTATAAAGGATTGGAATCTTTGATATTTTTAGGAATCGGTTTTAAAAAGGTTTCTAAAAAAAATGAAGAGGTTTAAGTTCTATTTAGAATTCTTAAATTTTTTTGAGGGTTCGAGTTAAAAAACGGGTTTAAAAGAGATCTAACTTAAATAAATTATTATTATTTTTTAATTATTTTATGAAGGTAGGTCTAGCAGGTATTTAAGAATTTATTTTTACATTATTATTTTAAACACACCACTTGAGTTTTTGAATGACCCGTTTGTCATAAAATTATTACAAAAATTAATAAACTATCATTATTTTATAATCATATTTAAAATAATAAAAGCAGTTTAAAAAAACCCAGCACAGGGGGGTCGCGGCACAGTGGTGACGTGGCATAGTTGGATCAAGTATAATGATATCTGTCAGTGATTAAAATCACTATCAAAAAAAAACGCTTCGATGCAAATCTTTAGATAGTGTTTAATTTTAAAAAATTGGTGGATTATTCCAAAAGCTTCATAAACTGCTAGTTCCTTATTAATATCCTGATTAAGACAAAGTATGTCGAATAAAAAAGAGATTATTAGAAAATAGTATTTCCCATAAAAAAATTATATTGATCAATACACTTTTCAATAAGTTATAGCATTATAATGTTAAAAATGTAAAAAATAAAATTGAGAATTTTCACACAATAATAGCATTTGGTAGCCATTTTCACCTTGAAGATAAAATAAAGTCCGAAATTTTTTTTTTCCATGATAAAGTATATTACATTAGCTTTAATTTAAGATATATATAAAAGTGTCAGACCTTCCGGAACATTTTCAAAAGTTATTTAAGTTAAATTAATTTTTTGTGAAAAAGTTGTCATTTTAAATCCCCCCTTGTGGGCAGGTTAAGGGTTAAATTTATGAAAAAAATATACCAAATGAAAGGTAATGATATTATGCATCTATATAAAAAAGAATTATATTGATATGTTTATTTTTGAAAAAGTTATGGCACTTTTAAGTAAAAAAAATTGAAAAAATTTCGAAAATTAGCGATTTTTAAATTTGTAATTTTTTTGGAGGTTTCCCCCTTTTACGGGGAACGAGGGAATTTTTTTCAATTTTTAAGGGTAATGTCTTCGACTAGATACGATTTGTGATCTTTTGACGTATCATTGAAAGAAATCGGTTCGGTGAGAGCTGAGAAAAAGTGGTAACAGACACAAAAAAAAAAAAAAAAAAAAAAAAACACATCTTAGTAAAACCAATACCTTCTCAGCTTCGCATCGAAGCTAAACAGATAGTTAATAAACTAAAACAATCAATTCATATATGACAACAATAACATATATTAATTATGAATTGAATAGAATTTTATGACGATTTATTAGAATAATAATTCGTCATAAAAGTCATATTTTACATACATATTTTAGCTAAAAAACATTTAAAAAACTATTTACTAATAGTATCCCAGTGATGTACCTAAAATTTTGAAAAGTGATACTATGTGGTTTCCGTAATTTAGGGCTTCTTTAAATAATTTTCGTTATTAATAATGTCAAAAATTAGAAATTTGCATTAAAAAATAGCCACTGAAATTGTAAAGAATTATTATTATTTAAGTAAAAGGTCCAAAATAGAAACTCACTGTAAGATCAAGTTGCACCATGTAATAACTAATCAAATAATTTTTTATTTATTTATGATATTAATTATCCCTAACTAGTAATGCAAAATGACAATAATAATCTTGTTCGGGTTTATTAACGAGAATGTTTTTTGAGACCATCACTCTCTTTACTTATAAATATAGTATTATCATTTATCCATAAAACAACTAATTAATTGTACGCTCTTATGATTTCTACGTTAAATATTATCATGATAACATATTTAATATTTTAGCACGATAGTAGAGCGTGATAAATTGTATAGAGTTACACGGTGACGTAGTTTATAATTTATTCTAAGAAACTTTAAAGGAACCGGGCCTTGGCAAATTTTCAGTATTTTAAATATGAGGTTTTATGAAACAAATAATTTTAGATTACGGTTAGGTTTTTAGTTCGTTACTGTATAAAAGTCTGTTGTATTTAAATTATGTTCCATATAAAAATTCTATTTCTATCCTATATTTATCTATTTAAGTTGTTCTTAGGTTAAGGAAACTGGTGAGTTTCTAGCTCATACAGTTAGTGATGTTGAAGGAAAAGCTGAGGAAGCAAAAAAAGATGCTATCGAAGGGTTTGACCATGAAATTGAAAAAATTGCCGATGGTGCACTTCAGGAGGTATATTTAATTAAACGTGGATATAAATTTTTCGGTGTTAAATAAAAATTGGGAGCCTTCTTCCATGCATGGCTTTATTATATTAAAATTTTTAAAGCAAATCATACACATTAATTCGTTACTTCAAATTATTTTAAAAAAAAATTGTTTGTTTTTTATTCAAGTAGTTTTTTTATTAGTGGTTTGTGTTTAAATTTAGAAAAACGTCGTAGTTCAAGATATTGCACTTTCTAATATATATTCATAGGTATAAGGTAACATGGAGGAATGGTACAGAGATGTCTGCCAGGGAAAAATTTTCCAGGGAGTATTAGCATAAATTATTGACAACAGTTTAAATTTGCCCATTACCATGGTCATGTCGCGAAGTTGAATAAAAAAAACGAAGCGATAACGATTGTAGTTATTACACAAGACAAAATTTATCCATTAAAAACGCGTTTAAACTATATATTTTTTTTAGACTGGCCAAAAAAGTTAAAGATTATATTATATTAGATTATATTTTTTGTAACTTGAAATTCCTTCAGTTACTTCATAATTGTGCCAGACGGACGATGAGGGTGCCCATCCATACAATATTTTCAATAAATAAAGTTATAATGAGTATAACTATTACCCTCATAACTTAGAAAAAATAATATATATTTTTTTCACATTTGTTCACTGTATTAATTCTACTTTGATGTGTTTTTTTGGGGGGTCTGTTACCACTTATTCTCAACTCTCACTGGATCGATTTTGATGAACAATGTGTCAAAAGATCACAAATCGTATTTAATTGAAGATATTACCCTCAAAAATTGAAAAAATTTCCCTTGTTACCCGAAAATGGAAAATTTCAATTTTAATAATCACTAATATTCGACATTTATTCAACATTTTTTTACTTAAAACTACCATAATTTTTTTAAACATTTATGTATCAAAACAAATTTCTGTTTATAGATACATTAAGTATTTATCTATCATTTTGTACATATTTTCAACTTAAAATTGCTATAACTTTTCGAAAAATATATGTATCAGCACAAATTTTTTTTTTCTAAATAAATTATATATATTTATTTTATTTGACATACTTTTTATTTAAATTGGAAAATTTCCCCTTATATAATAGGCGGTGTTCAAACCTTGAATCGTACGTATAAAAAGTAAAACATTTTTAACTTTACTTTTGAAAATGTTCCGGAAATACAGCGAAAAAATAACTTTAAAATTTGAATTAGCTTAAATTTCCAATTTTATCAACTGACAAAAGTGACGAACAGTTGCCGGATTGGTAATACTTATGTCTTTCACGCTTAGGGTATGAGGTTTGAATTCATCTGTTATAATCGATATTTTGTATTTTTTTTTTATTAGAAAAAAATTTTTCTAATCACTTGATTTTTATCTTAATTAGCTTTAAAAACTTCAATAAATATAAAGGATCCCATCACTCTAGTCTAGATTTATTTTTCCAACCCTCACTTAACCTACTTTTTTCAACAATACGTTAAATGATTACAAATCGTTTAAGTTCAAGATATTACCTTCAAAAATTGAAAAAAAATCCCCCAATCAAATTAAAAGTAGCTTAAACAGCTATATCTATATAAACAATTAAAATTATTCATTTCTAATATTTTTATAGTATTTATTGTCGAATTATATTTGATATGATTAAAGATTTAACTACAAAAGTAAATAATTTTATTATATAAATATATATATATATTATATATTATAAATTTAGTTTCACCTGAATTTAACAATGGATTTTTACAATTATAATCAATTTTTATAATACGCTCAATTGAGTAGATCTTTTTTTTTAATGGTTTTTTTAGTTAAAGTAAATCAATAAAATTAATTCATTTCTGCATAATTCAATTGTAGAATCTTTTTAAACACCAAAAGTAAATTAGGAATGATAACTATGATTTCTACTTAAGTGATCTCTTACGATAAAAATATTAAAAAAATCGAGCTTTTCTGATAAATTTACTGTAAATTGTAATTATAAAATTTTCTTATTGCATATTAAACTTAAAATTACCATTATTTTCTATTTAATGAAGTCAATTTCAAACTTGCAAACTGATCTAAAAGTTATGGTAATAATTCATTTTTTTTATAAACTTTCAAGAAAAAAATAAGTAGGTTAAAAATGATTACTTTTAACATATTAAAAATCAATATCAATAATAATTTGAAAGCAATTAATTATAAAAATTATATATTATATTTTTGAAACTAAGAATTACTAATCTGGATATAATTAAGGAAATAGAAATGGATGTTTCTTTTGTAATTATCCACCAATTTCTTTGAATTAAACACTATCTATAGATTTGCATCGAAGTGTTTATTATGATAGTGATTTTAATCACTGTCAGATTAAATCTGTACTTGATCCAACTATGCCACGTCCCCACTGTTCCGCGACCTCACTCTTCTGGGTTTTTTTTTTAATCTAATCATTTACCTGCTCACAGTTAGTATTCAAAATGGCAACTTTTCTACAAAAAATGCACTTTTTCTACTTAACGTTTGAAAATGTTTCGGAAATACTGACACTTTTATATACATAACTTTTGTATATCTTAAATTAAAGCTAATGTAATATACTTTAATTAAAAAATTTTAAACTCTGGACTTCATAGTAAAAATGTCTACAGTATTCAAAAATATGTTCTTTTTGTGATAAAATTTTCGATATCATATTTTTAATTTTATATTTCTATAATTTTTTTTATATTCATGGGTTTGCGATAGTAATGAGTCAACCGATTTTTAGTTACATGAATCTAACTTAAATTGAATTTAAATTTAAACTTATTTTGCCTTCACGTTAAGAAAAACGACTTTAAATTTTAAAACTAGCTTAAATAGTCCTTTTTTCTAGGAACATGTATGATGTACGGTTATCGGTCGGTCATTCTTCAGTGTTTCACGCTCGGGATACAACGGTTAATTCCGTCCGTTGAATAATTTTTTTTTAATTCTTTTTGAGGAGGAAAAAAATTCAAAATTTGTTTGATTTTTATCTCATTTAGATTGAATAACTGAAATTAGATTTTTTGTCATCGCCTTTTTTTTTTATTTTATTATTAATTTATAAAAACAAGTATTTACATTTAAAAATTGAATTTTATTTTTAATATGTTAAAAATAATTCGTACAAAATTTCGATTCAAAATTTCATATTTAACCTATTTTTTTCGTCCTTTAAAGTTCTACTTAAATCTAAATACTGAGATTCAGTAGTCATAAAAACTAAAACTATTTACAATGAAAGTATTTCTTATGATAATTATATGGTCTACCCAAAATATTACATGCAGTGTATGAACATCATAAGAAATGTTTTCTTTGTTTTTCTGAAGTATGATTATTTTTAGTAAAAATATTCATTTAGATCTATATAGGAAACTAGTTGCCATGTACTATGAGAGATTTTGAGAGGACTAGGATTTGTAATACAATCCGCATGTTTGGTTGAATTCAGTAATATTTACAAATGATTGGAGGTAAGCTGAATGACATTGATCGAAAATAGTAAGCATTCTGTAGTAAACAATATTGATAGTTTGCCATTTCTGGCAATGACAATATTGGCTACATATTTGTTAGTGTCTAATATTTTAAAGTGGTCTTACCATTTAGAGGAAAATTTGACTTGGCTAGCTATTTCTTGAACTAATACTTTATCACCTATGTGTAGAGTAGAAAGGAACTAGGACTGGTCGTTGGAAGTTTTAGATTTTTGTTTTTTTTTTCAGTCCAAACTAATATAGTCTGCATAGTTGTAAGTTCTGGATCTCGGGAAATAATGTTGGGACTTATAACAATAACTTGCACATTAGCTAAGTTAGGACGTTATATTGGTTGATAAGATTGGAAAGTTTGATGGACATTTTGTGTTGCTTGAAAGAGACCTGTAATCTTACGTCAGATGACCAGTTCTTGTGAAATTAAAACATAACTTTTGACTGGCTTACAGTTGTAGGAATAAGCTTTCTCGACTCGTGCCATGATTTTCGGACCCGTTTTTCTTCACATATGGCTTTGTCTACTATTGTAGGATTTTGGGCTTTAATGAAGTCGTTATGATTATGTACCCTTCTATGAACACTTGTTCCGTTTGTGATTTAAGACTTTGTTTAAGGTCTGTAGATGTTTCGATGCTATTTGCATTTGTTTCTTGATATAAGATTTGCTGTTGTAGACACTCTACACAATTGGAAATAAATGACATCCTCAATAAGTCCTTCTTTGGTACAATAGAGTTCAAGGTAAAGATGAGTGGTTGTCTTTTATGGTTCTAAATTGAATTTTATAATAATATTTTCATTATATATACAGGTGATTTTTTTATCATAACCTACTCAATTACTTACAGAATATATATAATTTAAATATTTTTTTTTATTATTATCTTTAGTTTTACATTATTCTTGAATTATTAACTATGTAACACTTTTTAAGTTCATCCCTTATGCCTCGTAAGGATGTCAACTTTGTTTTTTTAAATGGGAACACATATTTTGAGTTTAATAAAATGTTTGAGTTTTTAATTTAATAGTAAATGGCATTTGAATTTTTAGTATAACTTTATTTGTTTATTAGATATAAATATTTAAAGTTTCAAATTTTTGAGTTAATATACATGTATAATACACAAGGGTTTATAAATACAGGTAGCTAATTAGTTTTTTATGACATCAATATTTGCAGGTATACAGCATTGTTATTATCAATTGGTAGTGAGGCACATTGTTGTGAGTTTATAAATACACTGACAATATAATAAATATATCTATTGATAGTCATAATTGATAATAAACAATCCGTGACTGTGACAGCAATGTCAGCCTGTTTATATATACAGGGTGTTCAGTAAATAAAGAAACGAATTTCTATTGTACTCATTGTTTGTAACAATTTAACTGTTTCCTAACTTACTGAACACCCTGTATATATATATATATGTATATAGATATGTATGTAGTATCAATGTTTAAGAAAACCTTCCCTTTAGGGGAAGCCACCATGGCCTTTGATTGGGCTAGAAAGTAGAATAAAAATAAATAAATACTTTTACTGCATATGATGTTTACGCCTATAAATCAATAATTATTAGTTATTATTTGACAGAGTTTCTATATGCCTTTTAAATTAATTTTTTTAAATTCTAAATTATATTTATATTAGAAACGTCATTTTAAAATAATGGCAACTTTTTTATATACAAGATATTTCATCAGGAATAAGACACTTATTTCCTTGAAAACTATTGAAGATTTGAAAACTTCATAAAGAAAATATGTGTTTAATTCAAAAAATTACAATAATATGTTGTTAAAAAACTTTTTTAAGATCCCTTCAGGGTTTAACCCCAGCTTCAATTTTCTCAAATGGGGACCATCATTTTTTATTTGATAATAGGATAAAAACAATTATAAATAATTTTGTTGCAAAAAATTTGTTATTCGATAGATCGTTCATCTTAACGGATGAAAGCATTTTAATTCATGGAATATGTTAAATGGTGGTAAGTGAGTGGACGATTGTTGCAGCTCGTAATGGTGTATGTACACTCCACTTGTGATCATATCATCAAACTAAAAATAGGGGTTCCTATTAAAGAAAATTTATATTCAATTTTTTTTCCTTATTGGGACGAAACAAATTATTTAATTACATATTATTGTATGGTTTTTTGAATCAAAAATATGTTTCCTTTACGATAATTAAAATTTTTTTATTAGTTTCCAAAAAAAATTGTCTTATACTTAATGAATTATGTAATTCTTTTATTCTCAATTTATGTACAAACTACCCTATATGTGAACTAATAGCCTAGTTATTTATTTCATTTTTTGTTGTAGTCTGACAAAGATATTAGAAATAATACAGGTCTTGATCTTGGATCACTCATTGAGGGTGTTGTAAAAAATATGACAGCACCGCATATTGTAAGGATATATTAATTTTATTACTTTGTGAGTTTGACGCAATATTAACAAATATACTGTTAATTGTAAGAATAATAAAAGTAATAATTATAATGATAATAAAGGAGTAATTTTTTTATGAAATAAATTCTTATTTTCACATTTAATATTAAAACTTTTATATAATTTATAATTGTTTTCGTAAAATAATTATTTAGATATAAATGACACATAAAATTTTACAAAAAAAGTGAACAATACAATAAATAAAATACAAAATTTACTAAATTAAATATTTATTTTATTTCACTTAGATCAAAAGTAAATAGAGACTTAGTACATACATTAAAACTAATTTTTTAAATTTTAGTGATGAGCTAAAATCATTGATTATCAAAAAAAAAATTCATAATAATAAAAATACTTTTTATTTTAATATTATTTAATAATTATTATAGATTTATTATTGCCTCGAGTATTTAAGTTTTAATCATACTATATAAAAATATTATATAGTATGATTAAAACTTGGGTCATTCCATGTGAAATCACCTAATGTGTGTGCTGGTATAGTTCAGAAATTTATGAAATTTATATCATAGACTTCTTAAAAGTCATTGACAACAAAAATAATAATTTTTTTTTTTTATTGTTTTTTTACCAGATAGTGCATTTTTTATAATTAAAAACATGAAAAAACAGCCTATGTTCTAGAGCCTATAACTTCACATTCATATAAGCTGTCATAGCTTATTTATAACAGTGCTAGTTCCACAGTCATTGTGGAACTAGCACTGTTTTACTCATATTAAATAGTACTTAAATTTTATTCTTAAGTTTATACATTTTTAATTTTTTTGAACATCGAAATTTTGATTTAAATTTTTTAAATTTTGCAGTATTTTAATAGCAAAATTTGAAGGTCAAAAAATTTTTTAATTAAAATTTTTTTTTTCTCTTCAGAAACTTTTAGTAATGTTTTTTTAATCCATATCATATTTGAANCTTCAGAAACTTTTAGTAATATTTTTTTAATCCATATCATATTTGAACCGATTTATAATTTTTTTTGTATCGTTTTACGGTCTTGAACATGCAAGGTTTGCTGAAAATAGCCAACTTTATCATCTCATTACACAAAAGTGACTGAACGAATTTTTTTCAAATTTACATAGTACTTTCCTTTAGGCATTTAAAACGTCTGGTGAAAATTTTATGATGGAGAAATAATTTTAACACTACTTATAGAATTTACAATTTGCGTATTATGGAAAATTCACAAACTACGTAATTTTCAACACTCAATTTTAATTTCTTGTATTTATTCTGCGTTCTGTAGTATATTAAGTTATTGGAACTCATAAAAAAATCCTAGGAGCAACGGCTAAGTTCGGAAAAGCTCCATTACTTTTCTTCATAAAGTTAATTACATCCAATAGATATTGTTGATTCTTCGACTACGTTTTGACAAATTAAACATTTTTTAAATAAATATACGCACAAATATCTTTTTCATCTTCAGATTGAAGATGTAATACCAAGTCCATATTTTGAATATGTTGAAACTTTCATGGATTGTCATATTACTTGAAAAGCTTGAGGATTGATCTATGTTTGCATTGTTTTGGTACACAATTCCAGTAAACTATGTAGTTTTTCGTCTAACCATTGTTGTTCTTTTATGATCTTCAGTGTGTCCTTTACTGGACCATTGTGAATAACGAGACTACGTCGAAGCTGACCAGAATGTCTCCGTCTTTCCAATTGGTTTGTTGCAATTTTTCCACAAAGTCAGTTGAGTTTTTTACATAGAAAGATGTTTTTCCAGTGTAGGTTTTCAAAATTTGTGCAAAGTGACCTTCCAGATTATATGGTTAAATTGTTAAATTATTTTTGTTGTCAATGACTTTTAAGAAGTCTATGATATAAATTTCATAAATTTCTGAACTATACCAGCACACTCATTAGGTGATTTCACATGGAATGACCCACTTACAAAGCATTGCATTCTTTTTGTATTTTATTATATCTAACATCTTAAAATGTATTTACGTCAATTCTAAAATATTTGTTTTTCGTTTATATTAAAATTTATATTCATGTAATGTTCAAATTAATTAAGCATTCAAATACTTATTTCGCGAACAACATTCCATCATCAGCGCTAAATACATACTGACATTCAGACCGAAAAATACTCCTTTGTATAACCTTGGTGATTTATTACCTAGTGACGTAATCATTTAGTGTTGTTATCACTGAGTCGATTGTGACATTTTACCAGTTTCCATAAGTTTAATATATATTTGAGAATTTTGCATTAGGCATGATCCCAATAAATTAATTTTTATAACCTCATTTATTTTATCCTGTTATAAATTTAATAAAGATATGTATGGGTCAAAATATTATTCAATTTCTAAATAAATTTTATGATCAAAATGAAGGCACAGCAATGAAAAATCCGAAATTACCGTTTATAGCAGAATTTTTCATGAGTAGGTTCGAAACACTCATTAGGTATGTAGATGATTTTTTTGTAGTAATAAATAAAGATTTTAACATAAAGGTCTTCATAAAATATTTAAATAATTTTTACCCACCAATTAAATTCACGTACAAACAAGTAAAAGGCGGAAAATTTTATTTTTTGGATTTATTAATTAAAAGAGTAGGAAGGTTCAATTGTAAAATTTATCGGAAAAACACACACGTTCCGAACAATTCGAACCTCACTAATGATAGTAACATTGTTCGTGAAATACGCATTTATATTTTTTAGTTTTAAATTATTATTTAAAAAATTAGCCATAATTGATTAAAATTTATTATATTATCAATTATTTCGTTTCACAAATCAGTGGTCAATTTCTCTTATTATGTTATTTGTTGATTTTCAGTACATGGAATACTTTTTAGTATTCTTATGATTAAAGATTAGAAGAGTAAACTTGTATACTTGCAGTAAAACTTAATGCTTGGGAGTATATACACTAATACAAATTTCACATTTATTAAAAAAGTGGAAATTAAATACATTTTTCAATTTATACAACATTTAATCTTATAACAAATATTAAACTTTTATCTGACGCTAGTTAACATTACTAACAAAAGATTAACCCATTGTTTTATTTATTCGTCAATGTAAAGAAAAAAATCAGTTTAATAATTATAATTGATTTTGCAATGCTCTTCATGCTTTATTAACTCAATTTAGTTTGCTCTGATATTCAATAATTGAATATAAAAATTACATTGCACAAGTTAAATTTATGATAGGAACCTACACCCACGATTCTCCCAGCCTCGGATCCAGCTACTATCACAGCACCTTCCAGCATACAAAAATCAGCCGTGGATCAAGTAGCAACAGAAGCCAAAACTTTTGTAGATAAAACTGCTGCAGATTTAAAACCAGTTTTGGGTCAAGTTGTGCAGGATAAGATAAATCCATTGGCTCAGGAAATTGGTAAAAAACTTCAACCAGTAGCTGGAGATGTATCGAGTCATATTAATACAGCTCTAGCCGATGGTGTTAAACAGCTCAATCCTGTTGTAGACGACGTTTCTATAAAAGCAAAATCATTAGTTGACGATACCGCTAAACAGGTATTTTTTTATAAAAAAAAATTGAATTGTTAAAATAAATGATAGTCAAGACGCCCATAACTAAAGGCATATAACAGGTGAGATTGTTTAAGAATGACTTCACCATTTGAATGTTATATAGTTAGTTTTATATACTCAGCTTGTTTTTATTTCTTTAATAAATATTTATTACTTGTACTCAATATTTTACAAAATAAATAAAAATATACATTCAATAATTTTATATTATTTTGTAGGTTAGTGGAGTTGTTGATGAAAAGTTAAAAGAAGTTGATCATCTAATGACCGAGAAACGTGACGCACTTGGTCAACCGGCTATAAGCATGTTTTCTAAGGCAAAAGGCCTGTTCGGCTGTAAGTTGGGTTGCTGTTGTATCATGTAACACAAAATAAATTTTGCACAAGTTTTTTTTTGTACAGTGTACTCTACGTATTATATCGATATACTGCCATTAAGGTTAAACACAAATCAAATTTAATTTTGACAATTTTTTTTTTCTTTTTTTTTTTAGTATTACTTATTGTTTGCAAAATTATAGGATATCAGGGACAAAAAAAATTATCTAATGAATTCAAAATAAACTTACAATGAATGAGATGATTTTAGAACATATTTATTTTTTTATCTCATAATTACAAATCTAAATTTGTACATTTAGTGAAAATATATAATAAAAAAAAAGTAATAATAATGTATAGTTTTTCTTTAAAAATACCACTGGCAAATATGACGCGCGATTAAGGAGAATGTAATTATCTTTTATTTAACTGATAGTAATATAGATAAGAATATTATGGTTTATAATCCACTCAATTATTTATCAAATAAAAATAATTTCGGAAATTTTTTTTTGATTTTATTTTAGCTTCGATGCGAAGCGGAGATTAATTTTACTATGATGTGTGTTTTTTTTTTTTTTTTTTTTTTTTTTTTTTTTTTTTTTTTTTTT